GTGAGAGAGATCAAGTGAACCTTGCTAACATGTTGCTAGTAGGAGATAAAGCTAGTTTCAGAACCAGGATTGACTGTGGGTATTCCATATAACCCCTTGAAAGTTCAAAACTTAATAAGCTTGGGGAAAAAATTTCTAGCTCTGTGGATGTAAAGGTGGATTCTAGACCATAGGCTAAAGAGAGAACATTTAATGAAATAAAAGTTATTTTATTTCCCCAGATGGGGTCTGTGGCAACAGAAATTTAATTACATTTCTTGCTTTAGGTGTGGAAATTCTCTGCCATAAAGAATTTCCTTATGGAAGAAGTACTACATTTTTTTTTTTTCCTTTTTTAATCATGAGGAGCAATTTGGAAATTTAAATTGTCTATTGTCTAGTTAACTTATTCCAGTTGCCTCTAAGAAATCAGATGGGAAAGAAGTCTTTTAATTGGATGTTGTAATGATGTCTGATTTGAACAGAATTCAAGACATTATGTCTTTAAAATATACTGGCTCTTGGTGAAGAGTAATTTCAAAATAAGTCTTTAAGGAAGCAAAAGTTTTAAACAGAATAAAAGGTAATTTATCAGACAAGTTAATAAGGTAATTTACATCATTTGTCATGAAATTAGAGTTTTTAAAAAACTAATTTACAAAACCATAACACACTCAAGTCCATAGGCACTTGATACATGTAGATCCACTCAACATACATCTCGAATATTTTAGAATAAACAGATTCTACTAAAGTAGGTATTCTACTAAATTAGTATTAGGTACCAAAATCTGTTTTAGTTACCTAATATGTACCTAAAAAACAGTTTTAAAAAAGCTTTCCAGTAATGTTACACTGTGGTCTTTGAAATGGTTTAGTCACAAATGGAAAAGTATATTTGTGATGTTAAGACAATAATGTCTAATCGTGAGGAGCAATGCAATTGTTTACTTTTATACACCACTGTGGAACTGGTGTCACCATTCTACAGAGCAGTTTGACTATATCAAGAATGCTTATGTTCTTACTCTTTGACCCCGTTGTTGTATTAAAGTTCATCCTAAAGAAATAGAAATGTGCATAGATTTATGATCAAGGATGGTCATTATGTAAATGAACTTTAGTGATTAGCAATAATGGAACAAAGGGTGGTACATTCTGAGAAAGGAAAATAATGCATCATTAAAGATACATGTTTTTATAATATGGGAAAATATTCATGAAACCACATACACCATTAAAAAACATTTCTGACTGTTTCCCTACTTTGAAGGTTAAGATCCTAGGAAAGAGAGACGACAGGGGCAGTCTCTGGCCTTAGAACCTATTCATATCTCGGCTTTGTGAGTTGTATGATCCTAAGTTTCTCTGTCTCCGTACCTGTATAATGGTTGAAACTACAGTACTGTACCTACACCATGGGGTGAATGCATGGAGGTTAAATGAACGTGCTTACAGCACCACCTAAGTAAATTTAAGCGGTAATAGTCTTTCTGCATCTCTCACTGTAGCGGACAATACAGAAATAAAAATTTAGAAATGCGATGAATTAGCAAAGGGAAAACCCCATGAGACTCTCTGTAAGAGGGATTTCACCTCATCTGCCAACCTGCCTCGTCCAAGCACTTGGATTTTGGTTGGGCTCCCGGAACCGGCGTGAACTGGGCTTTACCTTGCCTGTGAGCACGCAAAAGATTCTGTTGGTGGGGTGGCGGCTTGGTGGGTTGTATGTATTCCAGGGCTGTTTTACTCGCCACATTCACAGTCCATAATACGCCCCTTTTAAAATACGGACTCAAAGGCGTCCTCCCTTTCACCTTTCCCTTAGGCGTCACGCAAAGCTCGGACCTGCCCCCACCGGGAGCTGAAAGTAAGGTGAGGCGCGGAGCGTTGTGGCGTCGGGGAAACGCGACCACTCGCTCCATCCCTCTGCGGGTTCGTGTCACGAATACTACAGTTCCCAGCAGGCTCCACGAGCTCCGGGTGCCCCTCAGACGGTGCCCGGCGGCTACGGCGGGGGGGCTGTAGTTTCTTCCGGTCTCGCCACAATCTTCTTCCCTCTCCTCCGCAAAACAGGCAGTTACTGGATGCTGGAGCTTACCCTCTTATTTCCAGAAAAGGCCGGTAGCCAGTGGAGTCAGAGTTTCCACGGAAGACTGCGCGCTACTCCGGCCTGGAGGGCGGAGCTGCGGGACGCTAGGAGCCTTGCGCTGGGTGACGACCTCGATCACGTTTTACGGCCGTTCCCCTGGTCGGCGGGGTACGGCGGCCGCGCAGGCGCGGCAGGGGGCGTGGGGCTGGGCCCTGCCTGACGCGTTCGCACCCTGCGGCGGCGAACTGCCGGTAGTCAGCTGTGTGTGTACGCCGCCGAGCTGACTGGGCGGGGACGCGGGGTATGGATGGGGGGTCGCCTTGACCTCGGCCTCAGCCAGTAGGACAGCCTCGGCCTCGCGGACGGAAATGGTGCCCTGGGTGCGGACGGTAGGGGAGAAACTGAAGCAGCGGCTGCGGCTGGACGTGGGGCGCGAGATCTGCCGCCAATACCCGCTGTTCTGCTTCCTGCTGCTCTGCCTCAGCGCCGCCTCCCTGCTTCTTAACAGGTAACGCCACAGCGCGGAGCCTGGGCTGCGGCTTTTCTCCAAAGCTGCCTACGCCGGGCCCGTGCTGCTTCACCGTGTGGCGGCCGCGTAGCTGCGGGACTGGGGGCCGCTGGGGAGAGCGAGCTTTGCAGAGGAGCGGCCTCGGAGAGCTCGGCTGAGCGTCGGGCCCAGAAGCACAGGCGGGTGGGGTGGGGTTGATTGCCTCCTTTCCCGAGGCTTCATCTGAGCTACCTTTTTCTTATGCATTTCTGAAAACGAGTCCTTCATCTTAAGTGCTTTTCAGAAGTGAAATCTGTGTGTCGTCTCCAATTGAGACCGTACGGAGGCAGTCAAGTCTGCTGACGGAGGGTTCAAAATCCAGTCCACAAGCGCAATTTAAGGCGGAATCCGCATACCTCCAGCGCGTTCCTTCATCCCCTCCCCCACCCCTTCAGCTTGCAGTTGAAGCTTTTCCCTCAGTATTGTTGAATAAAACAGCCTTAAAGATTTGTTGGATAGAAATCAGAAAGCAAAGTGGTACCCGTCTCAACATCCCCTAGAATATTCTTAAGGGGACTTGATGACAAAAAAAGGAAAAGAAAAAAAAACAAAAACAAAACTCTGAAATATTCCCAAAGGTTAAAGTTGGTAAATTCAATTGACATTTTAAAATCAGAAGATTCTGCCCACGAAAGAAACTTGTTATCCTTCATTTTGGAAATTGTTGCGATGCAATAGGTAGCAAAGGATACTTTTCCATTAAAATTAATACCAAATTTGCTTTTGATGGAAAGAAATATGAGACAGTTGTCATTGACAGCGTCTGCATGCTGTTTTCTCTGATGTTTTGAACCGGCAATCATTCTTAACTCTTTATCTTAAGGTAGTTGATACCCAAGGATAGCAACAGAGAAGAATGCACAAAGAATTTGGTTACTTCATTTTGCTCTAGCGTAACCATTATTTGTGACTATGTTGAAGTTCCCTAGTAGTGCCACTTCCCTAGTAGTGGCATTGCTTTCTTGTTGATTCTCGGTTTAAATATTATTGAGCTTAAATAGTAGTTGATATTTACTAAGAATTGTGCTTTGTGATGGTGAGATGTTTGAACTGTTAAGGAGAAATGGGATCCTTAACAGAGGGAAACCTAATTATTATTTGCTTTCTGTCATCTGTAAGGTATTCCAAGCTAGACAAACAGGTTTAGTATGAAAGAAATGTAAGCTTCATATGATTATTATTTTGTTTTATTTTATTTTATTTTTGAGGTGTAGTCTCACTCTGTTGCCCAGGCTGGAGTATGCGGTCTCAGCCCACTGCAACCTCCACCTCCCGGGTTCAAGCGATTATTGTGCTTCAGCCTCTAGAATACCTGGGACTACAGGTGGTTACCACCATGCCCGGCTGATTTTTTTTATACTTTTAGTAGAGATGGGGTTTCACCATGTTGGCCAGGCTGGTCTCGAACTCCTGACCTCAAGTGATCCACCCACCTTGGCCTCCCAAAGTGCTGGGATTACAGGTATGAGCCACTGAACACGACCGTATGATTAACTTTTGTCCATGGATTCTTGCCTGCCTCTTGGGAACTGGGTCAGTGTAGATTTCTAAGGTAGGACAGTCATCTACTAGAAGCAGGTTGAACTAGATTTCTGAGGTCATCTGCTTATGAAATCATAATATTTAGTGTTATGTGTTACTAAGAAGTTATAGTATACCATCTGATCTGTATACCATCTAACCTGTACCCTGTATTTCTTTTATGCAGAGAAGGTAGGAAATACACATAAATGTTATCTGAGTGGTTGGGTTTATGAGTGAAGCTGTTTTTACATATATTTTGGTGTTTTCCAGTTATTCTGTAATCAGCAAAAATGATCTTAGACACTGTAGAACTGTCTTGAATAAAATAATGATTATGTATCCCTTTTCTAGGAAAAGTCTTTTGGAAGGTGCCGGATGGTGTATATAGCATGCTTTTCAGTGTATATGTGTGATTTAAAAAAAAATTATGTGTGTGTTCACACACACACACACACAGATGCTTAGAGTATCTCTGAAATGTTATTATACAAGAAAACATGCGCCCTTCTAAGATGGGGTATACTAGGTACATCTATTCTGAAATAAACAATTGTAGATGAAATTGATTCTTGAACAATGCAGAGATTAGGACACTGACTCCTATGAAGTAAAAAATCTGAGTTGAACACTGTGGGATCCATACAAAGTACCACTAATGTTGTTGGGAGTGCTCCCAAGAAGCAGAGAAAAGTAATGACATTACAGAAAAAGCTGAAATACTTGATATGTACTATAGATTGAGATTTGCAGCTGTTATTACCTGCCATTTCAAGATAAATAAATTGAGTATAAGGACCACTGTGAAAAAAGAAAAGGACGTTCATGAAGCCATTGCTACAACTATGTCAGCAGGTGTGAAAACTGACCTTTTTGTAAAATACCTTTTTATCTTGTGCTGAAAATTTAGCTTTTATGTGGGGGCAGAATTGCTATGAGAAAGGCATACGTATAGACTAATACTATTCAAAAAAAGGTAAAGTCATTCTGTAACAGCTTAAAGCAAAAGGAAGGAGAAGAATCTAAAACTGGATAATTTAATGCCCGCAAAGGATAGCTTGATAATTTTAGGAAGAGGCCTGACTTGAAAAATGTCAAGCAAACGGAAGAAAGAGCCTCTGCTGACCAAGCAAGAGGCAGCAGATGAGTTATCACACACCATTAAGAAAATCATTGGGTCGTCCTGAAGCGGAGGCCAGAGAAGAGACAAGGGCATGAGCGTCGGAGAGTTACAGCCATGCCTTTCTTGGATGTGCGGAAAAGGTTCGGAATTAACCTAGATCGGTCGTGGACAATCCAAAGTGCCGAACAGCCCTACAAGTTTCCTGCTCGATGCCATGCTTTTGAAAAAGAATGGGTGGAATGTACACATGGAATCGATACTACCCAGGCAGAGAAGGAGTGCAAGATAGAATATGATGATTTTGTAGAGTGTTTACTTTGGAAAAAAACGATGAAACGTATGGATACCATCTGGAGGCAACGGGAAAAACTGATGAAGGAAAGGAAGTACACCCCTCCACCTCACCACATGGGCAAGGGGGAGCCTTGGCACTGAGCAGACACAGCTACTGATTATCTGGAGGCCGATTTTCATGTTCTCTGTTCTTCACTGGAAAGGTTGTTTATGGAAAACCTCCTTATCAAAGTGTGTAAAAATAAAGTATTGCTCCATCCTAAAAAAAAAAAA